CCCCACTTCTGGCTCCTGTATGGGGAAGGCAACTACATGGATGGGGGTCCTGGCACTGTGACAGGTGGGGCATGTCCCTTCTTAACTGCCCCAGGAGGCAGGCCCACGTCACCCCCCAATCTCTCTGGCCTTTCCACTTGGCCTCATGCAAGTGACCTTGACCCCATGTGCGGGTTCTGCACCCCAAGCCCCAGCAGCAACACCTTGGTGGGCACTAAGGTTCCAGCAGGTCAGCACTTGGCCAGCGCTCTCCGAGAAGCCTTCCTGCCCTTCCCAGGCCACCCCCACCGACCTGCAGCTACCAGCAGACCCTGTCTGGGTGAGGGATGGAGAACCCGGAGAGGAGCTCTGGACGCCCGGCCCCCAGTCGCCTCGATCAACAAGAGGAATGCAGAGACAGCACAGCCTGTTTAATGAGCCAGTGCGCACATGGGCGGCGGGGAGTGGGAGGTGAGGGTGGGAAGGGGCCGGGAGAGGGGTCAGGGAACCGAGGTGGTGTGTACAAGCATCACACTAGAGCTCAGAACCTGAGCATGTGAGTTGGGACCCCAGAGCAGGCTTGGGGGGTCGTAGGGGTGCTGCGGCTTGGGCCCGTTGAGGTCGGCCTGGCCGCAGTTGCTATACCACCAGCCAGCGCCCATTCGGTCCAGGCTGCAGCTGCTAAAGGTGTGGGTGTCTTCCACGCAGAGGGCGCAGGCATCAAGGTCGCGGTCCAGCGTGCTGAAGGGACTGCCCTCCTGGCTGTCCACCTGTCCAGAGCCGTGGAAGGCGTCCCCTGCGTACAGGTGCCCAGTGGGCAGCAGGCAGTGCCCTTTCACCCTGCCTGCTCTCACCGCAGCTGCTCTATGTCAGCCCCCAGACAGCAAGGGAACCTCAGCAAATCCAGGGGTGAAGGTGGGAGCAGCCTGGACCCCCCTGGCACACTCACCCGCATTCCCTAAGTACTGGCCCAGGTGCAGCCGGTAGAGATCGGCCTCCGAGCCCAGGTGGAAGTGGTCATAGTGGGCTTGCAGTGCGAGCTTGTCCCTGTTCTCCAAGTCCACCACCAGCTCTGCTCGGCGACCCGGCTGAGTCGTCAAAGCCACCACGTGGTCCAGCCCCAACCAGTGTTCACCTGTGGAGTGGACAGCCAGCTGGGCTCAGGGCTGTGATGGTCCCCCGGGACTCAGGGCACAGAGCTTCCTACCTTCCAGGGCTCCAAAGCCCTGCTTGTACTCCTGCCAGCATCTCTCGAAGTCCAGGGGCTGCTCTGCGTCCACCTGACGCTGCTGAATCACCGTCCAGCCGCCCTCTCGCATGTCACAGAGAACCTAGTGGAGCAGGGCGGTCATGCTAGTGGCCCCCTTGCCTTTCAGAAGCGGGTGGTGCCTGTACACCCCCTGAACTCATTAATGAATGTGAAAAATGCAACCCTGCTATTTTTCTGGGAATGCGTGTTACACAAACATGTGCTGTCTGAAAATGTGTGCTGTCACAGATGCTCCCACTGGCATCGGTCACTGGGCGCCTGACCCCGGGCCTCACTGTCACTGTGGTTTCTCTCAGGTGCTGAGAGCTCTGGGTTATCTCTCCAAGAGGCTCGCTGGCAGTGTCCACAGATGGTAAGGGTCTTTGTGGCTTGTGCTCACTGACCACGTCCCTGGGGCAGTGGCAGCTCCACCGGGCTCACCTGGAAAGGTGTGCTGGCTCCTTCAGGCTGGATGACATACACACCGCTGGGAGCGCTGGAGTTAGTCTCCCAGATGTGAGAGCAGTCCCTCCCTGTGGAGAAGCACCACCGAGGGGCAGGCCAGTTACCCTCCTGAACTTGGGGGAGCGGGCCAAGGCCCCTCAGGACCCTTCTTGGTCACCCCAAGGGCAGGCCAGTTCTGGTCCCAGTAGGCAGACTGGTCCTCCCTTGCCTTGGGCTGCAGTTGTCCACTTGCCCAGCCCAGGAGGACCCCCAGGTCTGTACTCCTAGCACTGTCTGTACATTTGGGGTAGGAGGCGGGTGGTCTCTGCCCCTCCTTCCCCAGCTGGCTTCCCTTCCTCCCTCCCCCAGGTAATGCACTGCAGGCCAGTGGCTGCTCTGGGGGATGGGCCGTCTGTACCCACCTTGGGGCTGTAGCTCCAGAACAGGGGCCTGTGGAAAGAGGGGTTGGTCAGGGCTGGAGGCTGTGCCAGCTTTGCCCTGAGGATCCCACCACCCACCAGACCCACCCTTACCGACAGGTGCCTCTGTACCAAGGACCAGGCCTGTGGCGCCCAGAGACAGAGCAGGAGGGTGGTGAGGCAGGGCAGGGCGCCGGCGGCCATGCTTTCCAGGGGTGTAGATGTGCTGTGAGGGCTCTCTCCAGGCCCCGTCCCTGAGCTCACTCACCTGCAGACCCTCTGGAAGGATCCGGCTTGCCCGCCTGGCCCAGCCTTTTATTCAAGGTGCCTCAGGGTGCCGGCCAATCCTGCCTCCGCCCCTCCCTCGCATGGGTGTGGGACCAGGTGGGGGCTCCTGGGCACACTTCCTCCTGGTTGGCTCTGGCCCAGCCTCTGGGGGCCCTTCCCTCAGCCAGCCTGGGTGGCTCACGCGTGACCGGGTCTGGTTCCCACAGATGTCACCACACAGGGGCTTCCAAAATTAGACTTTATTTCAACCTTGTAAGGAAAGTGCACGCCCAACTGGAGGGCAGGGTAGGGGCTGTGGCCAGCTCACCGGCCCTGGGCTCGATTTGGTTCAACACCGAGTCCGCTCATCAACAGGATGGGATGAGGCTGGCGCCGCCCAGGCAAGTCACCCCCAACCCTGCCCCAGGGTCCCCTGGCCCCTCTCTGCCAGACCTGCCGGCGAGAGGACGAGGAGGCAGGGACAGCTCCGCCAGCAGGACCCAGAAAGAATGCATCACCCCAACCAGATTTAAGGCTCGTGTTTCTGACGTCTGCTGTACGGTTTAAGTTAAAATTACCTGAGCAAAGAAATTTCAGACATTTTAAAAAGACCAGACCCTGGGGACTCTGCAAGCCAGAGACCCTGTCAGGGCCTAGGGGCTGCCTGGCCATGGGAAAGGTGGCCCCTCTAAGCCCCCTGGCCCCCAGAGCCTTTCCCAAACCTGCCTGGCCTGAGTCCACCATCAGACCCTCAGCCAGGTGCTCCTGGGAGAGGGGAGAGCTGGGGGCCACAGAGGCCGAAGACCACAGAAGGCACAGTGAGGCAGGGCGCCAACTGCAGCCCCCCACCGGGCCCTGCCCGCCCCCTGGTATAGGGGAGGCTGTGGGCTACAGGAGCCTGCGCTCAGAAACACCAACCACTATTGGACAGCGGGGTAGCGAGGCTTCAGCAACAGGACAGTCAGCCCATGGGAGGTGCTGAGCCTGCTGTGTGGATGCCAGGTGGGAGCTGGTGGTGGCTGAGGGGGGAAGTTCCACAGGGTCCGCCTGCGCTCCGAGCCGTGCTGGGGGCTCCCACAGCCCTCGGCCTACTTCTTGGGCAGGACGGTGGACGCTCTCTGAAGGCAGTCCTGCGCCACGGGAAGTGCCAGGACCAGGCCGACGGCGCGCCGGCCCAGCCAGTAGAGGCTGTAGCCCATGATGCCGAAGAAGGCGGCCTTGACAGCCACCCTGGACACACGGCCGGAGATGGAGGGTGGGGGCACACTGCGGAGAGGTGGGGAGGGGCTGGCTGCTGCAGGCTGCTCCCTTGCCCTCTCTGCCCCCCTCCCTGCCGCCGGGCCTCACTCACGTCATGATCTCCTGAATGTTCAGCTCGGTGCTCCAGTTCTTCTCGATGCCGGGCACATGGCCCATGCCCACGACGCCCACCACCACCGAGGGGACGCACTTCCTGGGCTCGGCTGGGGGGCAGACAGGGTCAGCGTGGTGCTTCCTCCCCTGTCCCTGCCCCCACCCCCACCCCGCAGGTCCAGTCTCACCGTCGGAGGAGCCAGGCAGCTCAAAGCGGCGGGCGGCCTGGCGCAACATGTAGGTCAGGTAGATGTCTCGCTCAGACACGATGGTGCGGTGAAGGTCAGGGAACTCGCCGATCATCTCGGCCATCATCTGCTCCAGCAGGTCCTTCTGCTTGCACTTCTCCACGTCGTCCTTGCTGGGGGGCAGGGCTGGGATTAGGAGGGCGCAGCAGCAGCTGCGGAAGGGAGGGAGGGAGGCAGGAGGGTGGGCCCTGTTTGAGGAGCCTGCAGGGAAGGCGTGGGTGGGGCAGGCGGAACGCAGGGCAGCGAGGAGGGCCACCCCCACCTGATGGGGTCCGACAGGAAGCAGAGGCCCCAGGCCAGCTTGACCTTCTGCCAGAAGGACAGTGCAGCGATGGCCCTCTTGAAGGTGACGGGGATGGGGCGGTCGCCCAGGTGGAACTTGCAGAACGGCACCTTGCTGGCCTACGGCAGAGCAGGGTCAGGGCCCCAGCCAGCAGCAGCCCCCCCACCCCCTACGGCCCCCTCACCTCTTTGAAGGCCTCCCTGAACTCCCCGCCAGGCGCCATGCCCAGCTGCTCCGTGATGTGGGCTGACACCTTCAGCAGCAGCATCTGCATGAGCCCCGACATGACTCCATTCTGGGGTACGGGGCGTGGTGGTCAGCAGGTTGCCTGCCAGGCCCCCCGGGGCCTGACCCGAGCCACCTTCCATTTCTCCCCACCTAGGCCCTCAGGTCTGCTCCCCACCGGCCCCACGCAGGGGTGCGGAGAGCAGGCGGCCTTGGGGAGGGTCGCAGACGCCTGTCTTCCCTGTGGCTCCTTGCTCAGCCCGTCCCCACGGGCTTGTGTTCTGCTCCCCGCTGTGGGGGAGGCGCAGGGGTAGGAGTGGAGGTCTGATGACTGTGGACCCGCCCGTCAGAACACAGCAGCAGCACACAAAAGTACAGCTGTGCAGTCACGGCCGGCCGTCACGCCCCGAGGGCTGTGGCCGGGTGTTTGTGCCTCCGGCTGGTCCTGAGCAAACAGGTGGGGGCCAGACTGGCGGGCAGCCTGTCACACACCATATCCAATGGCCGCTGGCCAGGGCAGAACCTGTGTTGGCCATGGTTCACACTAGGAGGAGCAGTATGGCCCAGGCAGCCCTGGTGGCTGTCCCCTCCAACCACGGGGACCTGTAAGGCTCAGGCTGTCCAAACCCTGCCCACAAGCACCAGTCCACCCCGGCAAGCGGTGTCCCTGCAGCCTGAGGGCCAGCTGGGCCGGAGCCCCAGGGCAGCCACGGTGGTCAGGGGTCACAGTCAGGCCACAGCAGGTTGTGCGCAGGGGTCACACGCCTGTCCACAACAGGTCCCTTGGCCCTAGGGCCGGTCTGGGGAGGGCTCTGATTGGGAGAGGCCTGGGCCTGGCTGAGAGTGGGGGCTTCTGAAGTTTATGACCTCAACTAGAGGTAAGGGTGTACCCCAGACCCACCCAGCCGCAGGGCAGAGTGGGGCCTGTGAGCATCCACTGTGGGGGGCACTGGCCTCTCCCTGCCAGAGACCAAGGGGACCAGCCGCTCACTCTGTCCTGTATAGCCTGCTTGCTGGTCCCCCACCTGCCTGGCCCTTCCCCTGCTCCCACACCTGCTGGGAGCCCCCCTAACACCTGCCAGATGACCTTGTCCTCCCAGGAGATGCTGGATAGCCTGCCTTCTGTCCTCTCCCCCCACCTGGCGGACGGCGTGCTGCAGCTTCTCCAGGCTGAGCTCCTTGGCCTCCCGCAGCAGCGTGCGCTCGTCCATCTTGAGCATGGACACTCGGTAGGGGCACAGCTCCACCACCACCACGTCAGGCTGCACCGCCCGGATGGTCTGCAAGGGCCCCCGAGCCTCAGTCAGGGCCAGCTGCAGGTAGCCCGTGGCCAGCCCGCCCCACCCCCACCACCCCACCTTGACGACGTCCCTCTTGCTGTCGTCGCTGAAGTGGGCCGTGCCCACCACGTACACACGGCTTCCGTCCTCAGCCACCAGCTCCGTCACTGTGGGGGGCAGGTCAGGCCGGGCTCGCCGCCTCTTCAACTTCACCTCCAGCAGCAGGTTGAAGGCTTCCACGTCCGCTGTAGCCACAGCAGAGGGTCATGGGGCAGGGGTCACGCAGCCAGCTGGGCCCTTGTCCAGGGCCACCGCCACCAGCAGCGGGGCATCCACACTTTGTCCCCCTCCTGCACCCCCAGCCAGCCCGAGGCACGTACACATGCTCTGGGACTCTCCGGGGACCACCGCAGGCCCTGACCCTGCAGCTCCAGAAACTACTGCTGCCGACGCCGGTTCTGTAGCCCCTGGCACTTCAACTGGCTCTGTGGCAGCCTGCAGAGGGATGGAAGGTTCCAGAAGGGTGTCTGGCCCACCTTGCCCAGTGCTGACACAGCTCACTGCCCAGGGCCTGCAGGGCCCTATTTCCCAGGGAGGGCCCTTCCACTGGCCACCGGAGCCCCATGTCAGCCCGCTGGGGTGCTGAGGAGACAGGCAGACCAGGGAGTGCTTACACTGCTAGTGACCTGACATTGTGGGCTGGAGTATACTGTTAGCCTCCGTGGACATCAGGGAGTTTGTGGCATTAGGGACTGTGGACATGGGGCACAGTGTGGCTGTGGAAGGGGAGTCAGGAGCCCGAGGGGAGAAGATGGAACACACTCCGGGGACGCTCCCGTAGGCCCAGCCCTGCCTGCAGGTACACGGCTGTGTTACGGGCTCCAGAAACTGGCCAGGCCCTTCCTGGGGGCGGGACCTGGATGTCACCTGCAGGGGGGCAGGCAGTGACAGAGGCTGGTGGTCAGGGCCATGGCCTGTTTCGGGAGTATCAGGCATGGGGTGTGGACAAGGTGGTATGATGGGCACAGGGTGCGGGGTGGGCACAGCCTTGGCAGGGGTGCTGCAGGAGCACAAAACCAGAGCTAGTGTGTGCCTGGGGCGGGGCTCTGACTTGGACCCTGAGAGCAGCCCACTGACACGCCCTGGTTCCCAGGGGCCCCCTCCTGGGCACCTGGAGTCCTGGCTGCCGGGCAGTTTGGGAAGGCCCTCCACAGGCCTCCTTCATAAGCATAGCTAGTGACCCCCAAAGGAGCCACACTGCAGGGGGAGGTGGGCAGGGGAGAGTATTTCCCCAGATGTTGGGGAGCAGACAGGCTGGGCTCCGTCCCCACTCACCTCTTGGGGGGGATCCTCCTCCTCCCCCTCCATGGCGGCTGCCAGCTCAACTGGTGACACCTAGGGGAGAAGATGGGTCTAACCAGGAGCCCAGGCCCCTGCCCCTGCTGCTCAGGATACCACTGCTCTCACAAGGAGGGCTCTTTGGGACACCAGGCTCCCAATCTGGTGTCCAGGGAACTCTGGGGTGGGACAGATGGCCTGGAGGGAGGGAGGCAGGCAAGCAAGACAGGTCCTGCCTGCTGAACCAGGGGAGCCTCTCCTGGCAGGTCCGCCACCCCACCCAACAAGCCCCCACTACTGGTCCCTGAGTGAGCAACCCAGCCCAGCCAGACTACCAGGAGCCCAGAGGGATGGGATGTCCACTAGGGCAGCTATTGACCCCCATTCTTGCCCCACACATGGAGAGGCCTGCTGGCTGACCAGCTGGCCCCAAAGTCCAGCGGAGGGGCCCAGCGTGTGCCAAGCTCGGCAAAGCCGGCCACAGAGCCGGAACACCGTCTCTGAAAGCATCCCGAGGCTGGGGGTGGCAGCAGCAGCCAATGGAAAGTGACCACGTTGTCCCGGCCTCCTGCCCGAGGGGTAAAGCCACACCCAGGAAGCCGGCTGGGCAAGCTGGGCCTGCTGTGGGGCAGGGCAGGCAGGCCGTGGCTCCTCACCCACAGCAGCTGTGGGTGGGGGTGGTGGCATGGCTGTTCAACTGGTGGAGACCTCAGTTAGCGGTAGGCCCACTCGGGGAAGTGGAGGGACATGCGGGGCACAGCTGCCGCCCCATGAGCCACCCAGTCTCAGGCTGCAGGTCAATTTCAGTATAACACCACAGTTCCCAGGTCTTCCCAGAGCCCAAGTCGCCCCCTTATCTTTTGGCTGACCGCCACACTGGGGCTGCACAAGCCACTCCACCACAGGCCCAGGGAGCCCAACCGCGAGCAGGTGGAGGCAGGACTGGGCAGAGGCAGGCTTCAGCAGCCCTCGCTGCTCGCCCCTTCTCCTGCCCTGGGGATCCTGGCTCCCACCTACCCAAATCAAAATCCAAACTCACTGCCTGACTTGCAGCAGCCCGTAGGCCTGGGCAGAGCTGCCCATGGGAGTTTCTGAAGCTTTAACTCTTTACAGAGCAGGGCGTCCCCATCCCCACCTCTCTGAGCAGCTGGTGGTTTTGAATGGCTGACTTTGGCAGCCCAACCCATGACTACTACAACACCAGGGTTCTGAGGTGGAGCTGCTTGGGGGTGGCCGTGCCCCATAAAAGACCAAGGTACCAGCTGGTGTGCCTCAGGGGAGTGACCAGCCTGGAAGATTCCAGGAGTCCACACGTCTGACCGTGGGGTGGGACTTCACCGGGAAACCCTGCTGAGGCAGGACTCCGCACCCCAATTTTCATTGTACTCCTTCCATTGCACTTATACGCCCCCCCACCCAGCCATTCTGAGCATCCCTCGATGGGGCCTGTGCTCTGCCCTGCCTCCTGTACCCCCCTGGCAGACAGTGTGTGGGGTGCTGTGTGCAGAATCCCGGCCAAACCACAGGCAGTGCACAGGCTCAGGCAGGCGACCGACTGTCCCCCATCTACCAGGCGGATTAGGCCCTGGCACTATGTCAGGTATAGGGGGGCAGCCTCAGGCCGGAAAAGGGGCATCTTGAGGGTGTCTATGAGGATCGCACCAGTCTTGGAGGCTAATGACTTGCAGCACCTGGACAGGCTGTGTGGGCACCGAAGGTCCCCAGGGGAACCCCAGGCAGGTCACAGGCCCACTGCCGGGGCCCTTCCCTGGGCCCCACACTCTCTATCGCCTCTAAATGCAGACCGGCTTCCCTGAGCAGCCCCCTCCCACCCACATCTCAAGGCTGAAGCTGGAGGGTCCTGAATCCACAGACCCATAACCACCACCCCTCCACGTGGCTGCAGACAGGAGTGAGACCCCCATCCCTGCTCCTGGGCTC